AATAACTATGGCAGTCCAGTCCTGTTGCTTTGCTATCAGTCCATGTCTAGTTCATGTAACAAGCCTGTGTATCACGCTGCTGTTACTGCTCTCAAGAGTTTAGGGACTATATGCTCGAGCAATGCGCACAGCGAGTTGCAAAAGGTAGAGACGCCCTGTTGCCTGCTTACTGTACACGTCGTGAGGTAATCCACGCACGGGCCAATCTCAGGGGGGGAGGTGGGTAGGGCCTCTCCACGGAAAAGAGCATGGAAATGGCGCAGATTAGGTTTGTTTTGAAGGCCGGCAACCAAAGCAACGGCAACACGCAAATGACAGTAGAGCAGTATCCCATATACTGTCTCTACAGAGATCAGGAAAGCCGTGGAAAGCTTAGGATGCCACCTCCTTGCTTATGACGTAACGGAAGTTGGGATATAGGCCAATCAAACAGCAGCTATGTTAGTGAAGCTACAGAGAGGAGAAACTACTTGCGCTTGATCAGAAACGCCTGTCTAGCATTCAATAGAAGATATTGTCTTGTACAAGCATGGGCCCGTGATACTTACTAATCAATGAGCATGCAGCACATCCTAGACAGCACAGCGCATACTCCGCAAGATGTTCGCAACAACACAAGCGTCAAAACTAACACAGGTCACGGCAATCTTTGCATCAGTGCGAGCTTCTTCACTGTCCCCGTCTCAAGAGAGTTACGTGCCTTTGCGCAGAAATTGTTGGGTGCCTTTGCAGAGGAATGTGCAGGACTAATGCCAAAAGCTATCATGGCACAGGCGGCGAAATTGTCTTGCAAACTTCAGCTTAGACATTGCGTACTTGATTCGCAGAACTTGAGGGTCGTACACTGTGCCTTCATATCGTATATGTCTGATCATCTTGAAGCTTCAGAGCAGGAACAAAATTTGCCACAAAAGCTCTGAAGGGCTGTCAGTGGCATGCTGGCATGCTATCTCTCTTCTGCTCAGCTAGGATCTCACCAGGCTCCAACACTGCAACCTTGTTGACCAGCTGCACATGTGGAGTCAAGCTGCCTGCTATCCGATGATGGCAGAGATTCCAAGATTCTTTCCAAAGCTCCCCTTGCAGTTTCGTATGCTCAAAACCCTTAATCAGAACGGATCCTTGCAATCCTCAGGACTCCATTCTGAAACCTGAATGGGCATGTATGTACACATATGTATCTAGTATTAGCAATCGATGTTTGGCCAAGCGCGGATTTGGTGCCCGCTGACGGCCATGCATAGTGCAATAGCGTCAACGCAACAGCTACCAACAGCCAAAGCCTTGAGAACCTTGAGCCTTCCCCTCCACGTACAGGACCACTCACTGCGGCAAACGTTTGCTGTTATGTTTTGGTATTAAAGGTTGTTAAGATCATGCTCGACAGTATGACTCAAAGCCGTAGTGCAATTTCACTGAGGCCAACGAGGGCCGAGGAGGCACCAATGTTTGCCTAGAATTCTGCAACTGAGACTCGCGCCCGTGTGGAGCTTGCGTCGCCTGACGCGACCAGGCAAACCGCTCTGGCAGCGCTACTGCGCCGACTGCGCCGATCGCTTAACCGTAGAAGACAGAGTGCAAAAGGATCGGCTCCACAGGGACTGGTGAGACACATCTTTGAAGACGTCTCTGAGGAGTTTTGAGCATTTTAGATACCGCTTCGACTTACTTTACCATGCAAAAGCTGAGATGCTCAGGAGAACCTGCACGTTGCCATTCGCGCCTGAGACAGGCTTCGCACCGAAGCCTCAGCAGACTCAGACCTGAGACTCTGTAGATGAATCAGTTGCCCCGGTCGCCCCACAGTTCTGTGATTCTGTGACCCTTGGCATTTCCTGCGCTTGATTGATGAACGCCCTCCCTTGCCACGCAAATGCAGGAATCTCGAATGCTTGCAGGGGCAGTAGTATGCAGTAGGTGCCATCCATGGAGAGGTCTTCAGATGACTTCGATGCACTTGGGAGGTTTGTGTTGGGAGGCTTCGACAAGAAGAAGCCGATGAGCTCCTTTTTGCCGGGCGTGGGAGGCTTCTGGGGCTTGCCGATGTGGACGTTCTACGTGAATCGCGGCCAGGGTATCTCGTGCTTCGGCATTTTAAACAAGGACAACCCGATCATGAGATTTGAATCAGCAGAGGCCGCATATCGCACTACTGCGTTTCATGGTTTCCGGACATTAATGAGTTTAAAGCGGCCGGGCGGCCTACCTGCGCGCCCATACCAGCCATTCTTCAATGAGGGCGAGGGGGAAAGGGACATGCTGATAGGCATGAATGAGATGGAGATCCGCGAGGTCAACCACGATGTCGGCCTCAAAACGGAGATTCTATACTTCACGGTCCCTAATGAGGAGTTTCCTGCCATGGTGAGAAAGGTGACCTTCACAAATTTAGGCGACACGAATCTAGATATCGACGTCTTGGATGGTCTCATGAAGTTGGAGCCCACGGGCATTCCGCATGAGAACCTGGTTACAATGGGTCGAACCATGGAAGCCTGGAAGAATGTCTACAACACAGAGGATGGCGACATGCGTCGGCCGTTCTTTCACATCAGCAGCGACCCAGCAGACATCGCGCAGGTCAAGAAAGTGGAAGACGGACATTTCGTTGTAGCCTTTGTTGACGGGGAGAGTGACAAGCTGTTGCCCTTCGTGGTGGACCCTGTGGTGGTCTTTGAGCACGACACCTCTTTGAGATGTCCCCATGGTTTCACCTCCACCTCTGCAGAGGCTTTGACTCAAAGTGCTCAGTGCAAGTGTGCCAGAACGCCTTGTGCTCTCGCGGCGGTTCCCGCTTGTTCCCTGGTGCCCGGGCAGAAGGTGACGATCTGTGCCGTCTACGGCCATGCCTCAAACGTGACGGAGGCGGTCGAGAAGTTCATCCCCAAGGTGTGCACAAAAGGCTTCGTCGAAAGGAAGCTCTTTGAGGCGAGGAGCATCCCGGGCAGCTTGGTGAAGAAAGTGGAGACTTCCACAAATTCATCTCTCTTCGATCGGTACGTCAGCTTCAACTTCTTCGACAACGTCTTGCGAGGCGGACTTCCCCACATCCTCGGCGACCTCGGGAACACCTCAGCTGATCATCCAAAGGTCTACCATTGCTTCAGCCGTATCCACGGTGACATGGAACGTGACTCTAACAACGTGTCGGCAAAATTGTTATGCTTGTTAGAGGTGTTGTAGGTATACACAGGTGCATCAATCACACGCTGTTTCAGAAAGAGCTGCTATATGCAAGTGCACGCGCGTCTTGTACTGACTGGATTCAGCTTGTAGGTGACTATAACAACTTCCAGCTTGACCTCACCTACTTCTCACAGGGGCCTGGCAACTACCGGGATGTGAACCAGAACAGGCGAGTTGATGTCTTCTTTGAGCCTCGCGTTCGAGATTTCAATGTGCGTCAGTTCCTCTCGTTCATCCAGGCAGATGGCTACAACCCCCTGTCCGTGGCCACGCCCCTCTTCAAGATGCCAGGAGATAGCAACCTGAGTAACTTTCTGGCACGGGTCACGCCCACAACTGGTCCACAAGCAGATGTCTTGAAGAAGTTGCTTCAGTCACCTTTCCGTCCTGGTGACCTCTTCAAGGCCATGGAGCAGCAAGGTTGCAGCCTCGAGAACATGAAGAGCAGCCTCTCTCGCGAGGAGTTCCTCCACCTTCTTGCGCGGGAGGCCCAGGAAGTCCCTGTTGCAAAGTACAACCAAAACGGCTTCTGGTCCGACCACTGGACCTACAACATGGACCTCCTGGACAACTTCCTGACAATCTACCCAGACCAAGAGTGCGAGCTGCTATTTGGCCTGGAGCCGATCCCTTTCTTCCTGTCCCCGTCCACAGTTCAGCCCCGCGCCAAGAAGTACAGGAAGTTGGAGAAGGATGGGGCGGTGATCCAGGCGGACGCTGTCTTGGACGGCGAAGCCATCGCAAAGGCTCGGGAGCAGCAGATTGCGGCTGCCCGTGCGGGGAACGGCTATGTGGAAGACCCACTTGGAAACAACAACGCATGGCACTTGGATGCGCAAGGATCCCCCATGGTCGTCTCGGCTCCTTGGTGATCTCGGTCATGGGCTTTGCATGCTGCTGCTGCGCTGCTGCGCTGTTGCGTTTCCCTGACGTGGGTTTGCATGTTCAAGCATTTTGTTCTGTGAGAACTTGACCGTCCGAGGTTGGGTCCAAGCTGCTTATGATCGGGGCCCTGAAGTTCGCCACGCTGGACCCTCTCGGCATGGGCATCCAGATGGAGACGGGAAAACCTGGGTGGAACGATGCGATGAACGGTCTGCCAGGCTTTGTTTTCAAGTTTTCAGTTTGTGTGTTTCGGAGTTTGGCCCTGAGATCTTGGCGATTTCTTGTTGGCTCGCCCAAAAGAACCCCCCTTCCCCAAATCCTGATCAGGGATTCTCGGGTCGACCATGCCGGAGACCTACGAGACGCTGCGGGTGCTCAAGTACCTGAAGAAGGTCTTGCGGAGCTACCCCAACAAGGACTTCCAGATACCAGATGAGATGCACCACCTGCTGCAGCAGGTGGAGGTGCAGTTGGGAACATATTCCATGAATGCCATGACTGCCCCTGAGTCTGAGAACATCACAGCTTTGGGGAAGGTGCCCGCAGCCGACTTTGAGTATTGGAATGCAGTGAGCACTGCGCGCGAGGCCTACAACGAGAGCATCATGGGACCTTTTTGTGGCAGCAAGCAGTGTTGGAGCAATAGTCAAGTGGTCTCACTGATAAACAAAATGATCGCAAAGATGGAGCATGGCATTAAGCGAGCTCTGAAGTTTGGAAACAGCAAAACTCCTTGTTATTTCTCCTACAAGGCAGAGATTCGGGTGGACACCGACTCTCACGGCTTTCCGGTTGCCGTCCCATTGTCATTTCAGGTGCCCACTGTGTATCCTCTCTTCCTCGAGGCCTTTGTGCGCCAATTGAAAGTGACGGACAGTACCGAAGATTGCCGGCAGGTGTACCAGAAGGTGAAGAGCAGCTCACTTTACGACACTCCGCTGAAGATGTACAAGGTTTGCGAGTCGTTGAAAGGACAACCTCTGTCCCTGGGCCGCATGCTTGCGTTCCCGCCGGGCTGGCTGGAGAATGAGTCGATCTGGCTGCACATGAGCTACAAGTACCTTCTGGAGTTGCTTCGTGCTGGGCTCTTCGCTGAGTTTTTCGAGGAGATCCAAACGGGCTTGGTGCCGTTTATGGATGCGAAGCGTTATGGGAGGTGCCCGTTGGAGGCCTCCTCCTTCTTGGCTTCAAGCGCTTTGCCCGATGAGCGGCTTCACGGAACGGGCTTCGTGGCCCGTTTGTCCGGGAGCACCGCGGAGATGATGTCCATGTGGGCCCTGATGTTCGCGGGACCCCAACCTTTCAGAAAGAAATTTGATGAGAATGAGAGGGGTGGTGAGAACGCGAACGATGCGAAGGATTTGGAGTTGTGTTTCGAGCCCACTTTGCCTGGTTGGCTCTTCAAGGAAAACGGCACGATTTCCTTCACCTTCCTGGGCTGCACAAATGTCACCTACCACCAAAATCCCAGTCAGGGCTCGCCTTTCAAAAACACCTGGGAACTTTCCAAACCTCACACTTTCACCTACTCCACCTTCGACGGTCTCAAGAAAACCCTTCACGGCAGCGCGCTGCCCCACTCAGAAGCGCTTCTGGCTCGGGAGCTCAAGCTTGCCACCATCGATGTCTTCTATTGAAGGCACTCGCTTCTGTACTTCTGTACAGTCATCTTTCAAAAATCCTTCGCTGAAAAAAAAAACAGCGCGCCGTCACAGCCCGAGGACGCTCCCTAAGGAGCGAAACTCAGCTGTACAAAGTCTGTGATCTCGTGAAGTCTTCTGCAGCCTTCTTAGCCTTCTTGTTCTGAAGCTTTCGTAGTTTCGTAGCGTCGTAGACGTATGCGCAGCGCCAACCGATGCGATTGCGCGATTTAGTGTTGCATGTACTTTGACGAAGTCGCTTAGAGTCGTAGACCGAAGAATCGGAGAGTCGATCTGAGAATCTGTTCTGCTTTGAGATCCGACCTACAGACCCTCCCAACTCAACAGCGTAGCAACGCCACGCAGCAGCATCCAAGCTACAGCATCTTGCAGCTGCCTTTCGCTTCCGCATGAACGCGTTGATCGGTTGATCTCCCTTCTCAGACTTCCAGAACACCACCTCTGTGGTTTTCGGCTGAGGTCGGCTTCTCCGGGCGTGATTTTGGAGCACGCCCGGCGGCTCAGTCGGCTCAGCCTCTGCATTCTTGAGTTTTTTCATAATTTGCATCATCGTGTGTGTTTCGTTGCTCACAGTATATCTTCCAGTTTTATGCAGGGGTTGATCCATGTCTCCTCTTCTCAAATCGGGCGTGTCAGTGAGCAAGCTGAGGCTGCGGGGCTTGCTTCCAAAACTCCAACCAAGAAGGCCAAGCTTACAATCTGACAGGGATTTATCGATATGGGGCCCTTACCGGGTTTACATGCGAGTATACAAGACTTACATGAGGCGACATGAGGTTTTTGGATTTAGGTCTTGAGTTTGTGGTTAAAGGAGGAGTCGGAAGACTGTGTTAATTTATGCAGGCTGCGAAGCGGCATGATGCAGTGATGTGTGGAGCTTTGGATCAAAGCTTTAAGCCCCAAACCGCTGTGCTCTGCAAAGGTGCAGAAGAAAGGCCTTTTGCTGAAGCATGAAAAGGACTCCAACCATCTTGTTCGGTGCCTAACAGGCTGGTTTGCATTTCACCTCTACACGGAGCTGCGTAAGAGCTGCTGAGTGGGGTATGTGGGGTCTCACTGACTCAGTGACTCAGGCTTGGGCGTGTTCTGGAGTCCCAAAAAATCCCTGCCAGATCACGAAACTGTTGAGAGATACCCAGACAATCCTGGTTTGTCGAACGACATCTCTTAAACTCCAGAGGACGTTTGGCCTCCCAAAAATCCATCTGAGCATTCCCTTGAGCCATACAGAAGGCGATGTTCATGCTTCGTTGCTTCCGGAGCAAGAGACCTGCTAGCCGCTGCTAGGCAAAGCAAAGATCACCTGTGAGACCTCTGGGGAGCTTCGATCACTTGGGCTTATGTTGCAACCACAGGTTTAAGTCCCTGTAGGATTCTTTAGGAGTCTTTCCTGAAGAACCCGAAATCCTCAACAAAAACACACCCCAAAAGACAGTGCTTTTGCCAAAGGCTGTTGCAGAGGTCTTCTGACAAGGTTGAAGCCAACTCATATCGAAAGTGAAAGGTCATCGAGACTCTGAGAGCCAACGGCCGTTGATTTCGGGATTCGGCGGCCGGCGGCCGGCGGCCGGCGGCGGCTGAAAGTGAGCCGCTAAAGCGAGCTTTAGCCATCAGGGCTCCTCGACCGAGCCGCGCTTCTTTTCACGTGTTGACTGCTTTCTATAGTCCCGAACGCCTAGTGGCCTAGTGTCATGCGGCCCTTTACCGAAGAGACACCCCACAAAAAACGATCATCTCATCTACAACACTTTGGCACGGAAAGTAAAGAAGGCTCCAGAAAGTCACACCAAAGGCAAGCCTTTAAAGCCATCAGGACAGGCTGTTGCACCCTGCGAGCTCTGCAAAGTGAGCACTCGTCTCCTGCGGTGGTCCTCAAGAAGGGGCCCTGAAAGATGGTAGAGCCTTGCAGGCATTGCATTGTCACGAAAGCTTCTCTGAGCTTTCGTCTGAGTCCAGCTTTGCTGATCTGTGCTAAGGGGTGTGGGGGAGAGGAAACCCTCCAAAATTATCAAATTTGGCCTCGTTTCGCGCCAGACCCCACAGCAGGAGGGTTTTCGTGGCCTCCGAAATAAGCATGATGAGGGGTCTGTTTTGCTGTTTCGGGGTGCCATTTCGGGTGCCGTGGAGGCGGGCGCCCGCCAGATGGCAGCCTTTTTCGGCTCTTTTTTGGATTGGCCGTTCTTGGGCACTCCGCCGCTTCATGAAAAAATGCACGCGCCAGTTTGCACCCTGCTCTTAAGCTTTCGACCCCTCCCGCGGGCGCAAGTTGTATTCCTTTGCCCTTCAGATGCTACACCCAGGAGACATGTTTTTTCAAGACCCAGGGGTGCACGGTGTACACACATGTGGGATAGGTCGGGCAGCTTTCCTCCCCATTTTTTTCTGGGAAGCCTTGCAATGGCGACTGCAAATTACAGCTTGAAGTATGGGTAAGCCTCAAAACCAAATTAGCTCGTGATGATTCCGTGATGATGACACGAAGAATCACAAATAAAGTCACACCAACAACAAGCACCAACAACAAGCGTGCAGAGTGATGGCACTACAGTGCAACCATGACGATGTTTTTTTCGCGATAGGAGTACTCGCCAAACGGCACATATGAAGTTACGAAAAACAAGAACAATATGTACATATATATATATATATGTATGAATGACGTTGCTGTTTGTAGGAACACTGCTGCTATGCTGAAAAGAGGGAGGACTTCCCGGGACAATGGGGAGGACTAAGGATCCCCTTCCATTGAACTTAGAGCCAGCTGTCCCACTCGTCCTAAATGGTCTAGCTGTACCCAGCACCAAATCTTGTGAGATGTTTGGTCCAGAACACTTAAATGAATTTGCTTCAGGAGTGCGAAGCAAGGCTTCTGGTGGTTGTCAAGGCTGCTAAGTAGCTGCAGTTGCAATGGATCATCGGATCATCTGAAGGGTAATCGGCATGGGCGTGTCTTGCGCTGATGGCAAGGCGTGCAGTTTTCCAGGCATTGCAGATTCGTTCTAGGGTTCCTCCCCGGAAACGAGGAATAGGAATTAATCGATTGGGTATAGCAAGAATTTAGGTCCCTAAGTATTCCACCTGTCTTCCAATCAGATTGACTGACCCTTTTCTCAGTGTGAATCTCCATTTAAGGCCCAAAGCAAGAATGCAGTGAAGCGTGCATGCTGCTTCCTGCAACATGACTGGCACTGCTTGCCGCCTCGAAAGGGTTTCCATATGTTTCCATGCCTGGCATCTTCTGGAAGTTACAAACAGGAGCCGTGTGAGTGCAAGTGTCAAAGAGATAACTAGGTTTCGTCTTGCAATTCTACCAATTTCCTGGTGCACTGCGGCGTATCCAGAATCTTTTGTAGGCCAGGAAAAGGGTTGATCCTTCAATTTCTCACGACATGAGATCCCAAGCCTGAGCTGGCCATGGATGCTGAAGGCAGCGTGTTGTGGAGTGGTGGAGTGAGTAAAATACGTAAAAGACGAAATTAGAGTGAAGGCGGAGCAGACTCCGGACCAGCTCTGAGCTTCGAAGCACCATTTTTTCCCCTCAACGACCGAAGCCACAATTCCCGTTAAACGATCGAAAGTTAAACGCTTGAAGTCTCATCTTTTTTCAACCTGAGAACAGGACCAGCTCTGCAGGCTGCAGGCTGCAGAGGCCGCAGAGGCCGCAGAGGCTGCAGAGGCTGCACCTGCAACCGAGCGCCGTGCTCGGATTTCGCATGGAAGTTTCATAATTCTTGTGTTCGCGTTGTTGATGTTGAAGTGTCCCTCATATCATTCCCTAAATTCTCGTACATTACAACAGCCATGTACGATTCCATGTTTCGGAAGAACACATGCACCTTAAGCCGAGCTCCCCAAAGAGTTTTGCTAAGTTCTTCACCCTGACAAACTCATGCATTCACATGCTTAGCGTCACGAGCTACCACTCAGCACAAGTACCCATATCTTGCCCTTTTGTGATTTCAACCGCGATTATTTTTACCACTACTACCGCTGCGATTACAACTATCTACCACTCCTCTGCACAAACTATAGCGAGGTCAGAAACAAGGTCACCCCAGAATCAAAGCAATTAGCGATATGACGAGGTGAAAGAATTGTAATTTCGGGTTGCAACAGTCCAGCCCACGTAAAGCAAGATTGCAACCAAATTGGGTTTTGGAAGGTCTTGCAGGTGAATTCTGAGTTTTTCAGTGTTCAAGGCCTTGGGATGAGAGTCCAGGAATTTGACGCAAATTCGCTGGAATTTGAATTGGCGCCTGGGGAGAGTAGGGGGGGAAGGCCTTGAGATTCAGATGAGATTCCAGC